TATATATATATATATATATATATATATATATATATATATCAAAAAAATTATAAATAAAACTAAAATATATTAAAATAAAACATATGATATTACACGAGCAACTTATAACAACGTATACTTAAAGTTTCAAAACTTGAAAAACAATACACTAAAATTTCTAAAAATAGTAAAAATTTCTGTAGATTTCTTTTTGATAGGAATATTAGAAATAATTATATTTTTTTAATATTACAGAGGTTTCTTCCGAAGTGACAGTCTGCTTGGTACAGTAATGATTAAATTACAGCCCCTAGAGTCTCAATGTATTCTACATGATTCTTTTCCAGTAATTAAATTTTTTATATTCTCTTGTGTAAAAAATTTTTATATAAATAGAAGAACTCATTAGTGCATATATTTCAGCTTATGGATGGCAGAAAAGCAACAGGAGGGAAACTGGAGTTAAAAATCCGTCTCAGAAATCCAATTCTTTTTAAGCAAGTCGAGAATATCACGGATAAATGGCTAACTATTGATCAATAACCTAATTTATTAATTTCATAAAAATCTATTTTTAATTTACTATTGATTATATTGTAAAGTTTAAAGCAAAACTAATACATCGAAAATGGAATATTATTTTCCTATATATATTCATAATGCAATAAACAAGATGTAAAACAATATATATATATATATATATATGTGTGTGTAGTACATATGCGTGTATATACACGTATAAAAAGAACGATTCATAATAAGCAAATTGCAAAAATGTAAATATTCTGTATTTAATTATAATAGATAAACTACATACAATTTATATTTCATGTAAATAAAAGTTTTAATCGTTTTGTCTAAAAAGTAAAATGTTCTTACATATTGAATTAAGTATTTTATTTATGTATTTATATCTTTACTAATTGATTGATTATACAATTGTCTGAAAAAATTAGATTTTTTTATATTTTTATTTATATGTTACATCCAGAAAACCTAGAATTATCTTTATTTATTTAAAACATCTGCTCAGAAAGGAGATGATCTAGTTCGATTCCTGAGATATTTTTTGCAATAAGAATTTCCTATAAAAGGAAAGAGAAGTAATTTCAGATTTGATTATATCGATGTATTAAAGAAAAATAATTTGATTTTAGCTTTGAGCTATTGCGTTGCAAGTCCATTGAAAATAACGGCACATAGTTTATGTAATTGTTCCGAATTTATAGATATAAATTCAAGAAAGGAAAATTAGTAGACACCTAAGATTTAGTCTATTGAATCTATCTATCTTCTATTATCTGTTCTTTATCTATTTGGAAAAATTTAGATCAAGAGAGATATAGCAGGTATCTTTCTTGCAGATCAAAAGGAAAAAATGACTTGCAAGTCATTCGTATCTTGTGTTGCTTCGAGTTGAAAATCAATATCTTGTATGGACGCTATAACATTTCCCGTAAGTGACATAAAGGGCTTTCACTGATCTATTGCAGTCATCTTTGAATTATACAAAAAAATTTTCGATATATTTTATATCTATTTTATCGAGCAAATGTTACTTCCGAATAATATCTTTATTTTAATACATTTTGCACGAATTTTTATCATGTTTTCTCGCTTCTAATAATTCGAAATAGTTGCAATGAATCAGCAGAATCCTTAGTAAACTATTGATTTTTTGATAATTTCATCTTTTAATATTTTTATGTGCATAATAACTAGAAAAATCATATTATGTAAAAGATCATATAATTCTATCAAAAAAGTGAGATATCATATGTGTTGTTCTGTTTTGGAGAAAGATCAGTGGCAATACTATCATTTATAAAGTAATCAGTAAAAACTATAAAAAGAATTTCCTTTCCCATTAATAGTTTTAGAGAAAACACTGCATAACACTTTTATAACACTGCATAAGTAATACATTTTTTATATTTTGCTTATGTATGTATTTTCTAATTTATTACATATCTTTTATATTGTATAGCACAAAAATATAAATAAATTTTATTTGAAATTTTATATGGTATGAATAATAAATATACAAAATAAGATATAAAAAGATCTATTTTGTTACAAGGAATATTTTTACAAGGAAAAACTTATATTTTTTTAAAGAAGCTATAACTAAAAAATATTGCAATAAGTTTTAAATGATCTACATGATCTATGTGATGTATATTACATAAATATAATTTAATATAAATATATCTTTTATTACACCATTAAAAAAATAAAATTTAAAACTTCTTTACTTGAAAGTGAAAAGGGATATTCGATGTTCATGTAATAATGTACTTTTCCATTTTTATTATATAACTTATGTGTATATTAATCTGTCAAAATTAAAAATTTTAGAAATTATTATTGCTTCTTTTCATGATAGTATACAACGATAAATACAAAAACTCATGACAAACGAGCAATTCAATTATTCAATAATACACAGTAGTTCATATATCTAATTAAAATTATGTATTAGACTAATATAAGAATGAATAAAATGAATTAAAATTTATGTTTACATGTGAATGAGATTTTGTAGTATATTTAAAGGTAGCTTGTTTAAAGTTATATAGTTTGTTGGTCATATACAAGATTATAGAATTAATTTAAAAATTAGATATTGAGTTTTGATTTACACAAGAAATTGATTTTCGATTAGATTATAAAGTGCTAAGGCACCAGAGGTAAATGCAAATAATAGTAATGATTGATATTACATTACTTCCTAATAATATTAAGATCATTAACTACAGAAGTTTCTTTTGTGTGTAAATGTGTTTAATTGTAGTACATATGTTGCAAAGATATTTATACATGTTTACATATTTAGATATATCCTACATCTCTTGATAGTCTCAGACTTCTCGTTCTCGTTTATTTCAGGAAATGAAATAAATTAAATCTTTTTTTTTATATACTCATCCTGTTAATTGCCATCGCATTTTGAACATAGTTTGCAGAAGAAAATCGATTATCATCAAATTAAAAAATGAATTATTTTAATGTATTTTTTTGTATTCCTTTTATCATAATTTTTAAATCTTTTTGTAAACAATAATTAAAAAATAAATATACAAACTTTATTAAATATTACAGTATCATCGTACTATCAAAATACTACGTTATGTGTAATTATATTTTTTCTTTACGATTATATATTTATTAATATAAATAAAGAAAGATGTCTTTTAACACATGGCAGTTAATAAGACGAGTTCAACATTTATAATTTTCAAATATTATCTATGTTCGTCATTTCAGATTGTTTAATCACACATAAATAGATTAGTTTTCACTTAAAAACATTTTTATAACTCATGTTAAATACTTCAGTGTAAAGTTATATAGCTTAATAATATACATAAACTGGATAATTTTCTTTGCACAAATCATGGTTATGATTCTAACTAAAATTCTAAAAGTTAACATATAATTATTCTTTTATAAATGCCTAAATAAAGCCATTTCAGACACTTACAAATATCGCTTTCTAAATTCTACAGTTGGGTGTGTTGCTCTGAACCCAACATAAGATTGCTTCTCCATTAAATGTTCTTGAATTTTCTTCAATCCACAAAGTCCAGTAAGTTCCTCACGAAGTCGCAATACATATTTGGAAATTTATACAGTCTCTCAATGAAAGACAAAAATTATGACATAAAGTATTAAAGATAATGTATGTGTCATTAATCGATGAACGACTTAGAATAAAACTCTAGATTTGAAACTGTTATGTACAATATTTATTGATACAATTATAGTCAAATTTGACAAAATTCCTGTCAAAACATAATGTTCTACGATACTGTCCCAATATGTGAATGCATTCCATATTCTTGTTTACATAATTTTACCTTTACACATCAATCCTAAGACGGAATTTTCTTTATTTTCTACTCTGCCATATGACCTATTTTATATCATATTATGCATCATATTTTCGATTATTAGCTCCGACATTAAACCATTCAAAGTTATAATTGTGATAACACAACGTATATGATATATGGATGCATATAAAATACTTAAAAGTACTATGAAAAAAAAAGTATACACAAATGTGATATTACGTTCGATGATTAATTTCGACTTTAATTGCAGGCAATTTAGCAGTTGTTGAAAACATATAGACCACTTCTATTACCTCCGTACACAATGTATAGTGGTTAAAAGCGACAAGAGGTACAGAGGAACAACTGCTATAGAAGGCAGTAAAATGTCAGTATGACAATCAACAGGACAGTAATGACAGTCAAATGTCAGTATGACAGTCTTTTGAACACCATGAGGTCATGGGAACACTGAAAACTGGATGTCCTGTAATTCGCTACGATACCATCTCGTGCCAGCCGCTACTATTTGAAGAGTTGGTTTCGAGTAATACTGAAAACAATAAAAAATATATGAAAAAAAAAAAAGATATTGTTCATTGTTCACATGTAGAACAATGTAGAACATTCTTTTGTGTTATAGAAAAAAGAATATCCATTAGAAGATTTTATTATACAAAAATACATACCGTTTTTATCATTTTCTCCTTCTGAAGAGAATGATCTTGGGCCCCATATTCTTACTGTAAAATCATCCGACACAGAAGCCATCATCTGATGATAAACAGGATTCCACGAAACACAATTAACCGTTCTACTATGTCCCGTAAGAGTTGCTATAGGTAGTTCTCTTTTGATATGCCATACATACACTTTATTGTCTATAATGAAAAAAATATTTAATTGTTCTTATGTTGAATAATTAATTAAAAACAAATGAAATATAATAATTTAAAAAGTACAAAAATATATTTTATTATAAATAAATATATGTTATTTATATATGACGAACCTTCACTTCCAGAGGCAATAAAATCTTGATTAACTCCTCCGAAACAGCTATGGATAGTAAAATGTCCTTGAGTGACACCTTGAAAACGCCTTACAAGACATTTATCCTCTAAATCCCAAAGATGCACGCCTTGATTTGCAACATTAAGTAACGCAAGTCGATCTGCTTTGTTTACGCTAAATGACATAACAGGGTGATCTTCTTGTAATCTGTAATAATGTAAAAATATTTCGTTAAAGATTTTGTTCAATAAAATAGTTAAGTGCAATACATGATTATATCGATTATTATAAATTACATAGTGGCGTCACCCAAGTCATCGAAAGTATAGCTACGAATTCTATGGTGTGTATCAGCCGCTAAGACAGTCCTACCATCACTGCGACACCATAAGCATTTTACTCTTACTCCTTCCCATGAATCGGAAACATTCCCATCCATATCCTAAAAGTTTTTATTAAAATTATTAACTTATTAAGAATATTTTTTCAGAAAATAGTTTTATGTTAACATTGTAAATCGTATTTATTACTCATTTTTAAGAATTAACACATACGCATTGATAAAATTGACCACGAAGACCTCCTGCTACAAATTTATTCGAATCACGATGCCAGGCACAAGCTGTCAGCGAATCGTCTGTGCTTTGTGTCAGTTTCACACGTAGTTCGCAATCAGGCGTATCGATGCTCCAAAGCCATAGTTCGGGACAATCTTCAGGACCACAAGCAATTAGATGACTGCTGTCGGGACTCCAAGCAATTAGCGCTACACCATATGTATGGCCTTCAAGTGTTTTCCTATGCGTTACTTTTAATGTTTCCTGTATTAGAATTTGGACAACAATATTTATTATCTATATCTGCTAAAAATAAAACTTCATAAGATATTTATCATTACACGCACTCTTTTTGAATATTGAATATTATTTAAATAAATTTTTTTGTAAATAAGAATTTCGAGGAAAAGCATGATTACAACTTTCAACATTAATAATTTTATAAATTTCAAGTTAAAATTTTATCTAAGGAAAAGAATGAAGATAATAAGTTGTTACTTTTGTTAATAATAACAAATGAAAATTTGATGTCCAATTCAGATTCCCAGAATTTGATGTCCAATTTAGATTTTCAAAAACAATATAATTTCTTGTAGTTTGATTTTAATTTTGTTTACAAAATACAATAAGAAATTTGTTTTTAGTATATTCATATATTTTAATTTTTGATTTTGTAGTATTCGTTATAATAAAGAAATATATAATTATTGTAAATATTTTCACTTCACTTTACAAAAATCATGTTATAATATAGTTGGAATATATAATAACATATTAATTTTATAAAAATATTGCAATTGATATACATACATATATACACACGCACATGCACACACATACATATACATACATACGTATACACGCATACATACACATATACAGATAGATTGTTAACAATATGTATATCTCGCACTTCATTAATATACATACATATGCATAATAGTAGTTTTTATATATATATATATATATTTATTTATTTATTTATATATATATGTATATATATATATATATATATATATTT